TCAGCCTCCCGAGTAGCTGGAACTACAAGTGCTTCCACCACCACTGGCCATATTTTATATTTGAGCACAGGGGTTTCACTGTGTTAGCCAGGATGGTCTCAATCTCCTGACTTTGTGATCCGCCCGCCTCAGCCTCCCAAAGTGCTGGGATTACAGGCATGAGCCATCGCACCCCCCAACTGATGGCACTGTGTAACATGAAATAAGTCAGCCAAGAAGAGACAAAAATTGCATGAGTCAACTTACATGAGACATCTAAAGCAGTCTGACTCTAAAATAGATAACAGAATTGTTTTTGTAAAGCACCAGAAAACAGAAAAAGTAGGTAGTTGTTTAATGTGTATGAGTGTTAAGACTTGCAAGATAAACATATTCCAGAGATAGAGTGCATAACAATATTGATATAATATGACTAAGGTGAATACTTAAAAGTATTTATGGCACGTATATACCTATGTAACATGTTTTTCACACGTACCCCAGAAGTTAAATTGTAATAACAAAATTTGGAAAAAAATGGTATTTAAGATTGTAAAGTTTTGGCTGGGTGCAGTGGCTCACACCTGTAATCTCAGCATTTTGGGAGGCTGAGGTGGGCGGATAACGAGGTCAGGAGATCAAGACCAGCCTGGTCAATATGGTGAAACCCTACCTCTACAAAAAATACAAAAATTAGCTGGGCGTGGTGGTACACACCTGTAATCCCAGCTGCTCAGGAGGCTGAGGCAAAACAATCACTTGAATCTGGGAGGAGGATGCCGTGAATGGAGATTGCATCACTGCACTCTAGCCTGCATGACAGACTGAGACTCCATGTCAAAAAAAAAAAAAAAAAAAGATTGTAAAGTTTATGTGTTTTTGACAATTAAAAATAGTATCTAGCCGGGCGCGGTGGCTCAAGCCTGTAATCCCAGCACTTTGGGAGGCCGAGACAGGCGGATCACGAGGTCAGGAGATCGAGACCATTCTGGCTAACCCGGTGAAACCCCGTCTCTACTAAAAAATACAAAAAACTAGCCGGGCGAGGTGGCGGGCGCCTGTAGTCCCAGCTACTCCGGAGGCTGAGGCAGGAGAATGGCGTAAACCTGGGAGGCGGAGCTTGCAGTGAGCTGAGATCCGGCCACTACACTCCAGCCTGGGTGACAGAGCGAGACTCTGCCTCAAAAAGAAAAAAAAAAAAGTATCTAAAAATCTGAGATACAGACATATGACAGTTTTTGAACTTATCTTCAAGTCGCAAAAGTGTTTCTCCCACACATAAATATAGATTTACAAATAAATAGAGAGTAAAATTAGGAGGATTTCAATGACTACTCAAAACCACAACTGTATACACAAACAGAACAAGTATACAACTCATAAACAAAACAAAAACAATATGCATACAGATAAATAAACACAGACTCATACTGGAAATAGACATATCAGTGATCCATATTTGACTTGTGCTCCAGTCTTACAGTGTACATGGTCGGATGCTGTCAATTATAGTATAAAATAAAAACATCCTTGTCTTGTTCCAGATCTCAAATAAAAAGTTTTCTGCTCTTTCCTATCCAGTATGGTATCAGCTATTAATCTGATCATTATTAATCATATATGGTCTTTACTGTATTGAGGTACATATAATCTATACCTAATTTGTTGAGTTGCTTAAATCACAAAGGCATGTTCAATTTTGGCAATGTTTCTTCTGTATCTACAATAAAAAATAAAGGTGCCTGCCAGGTGTGGTGGTTTACGCCTGTAATCCTAGCACTCTGGGAGGTTGAGGCATGAGGATCACCTCAGGTTAGGAGTTCAAGACCAGCCTGGTCAACATGGCGAAACCCTGTCTCTACTAAAAATACAAAAATTAGCTGGATGCAGTCCAGCTACTCCCAGCTACTCAGAAGAATTGCTTGAACCTAGGAGGCAGAGGTTGTGGTGAGCTGAGATCACATCAGTGCACTCCAGTCTGGGTGACAAAGCAGGACTCCATCCCAAATAAAATGAAGTAAAATAAAATATGTCTAGCAGCAAACTGAACTGAAAAGATGAACACTCTCTACACTGATAATTTAAAAACATTGATAATGCTGGGCGTGGTGGCTCATGCCTGTAATCCTAGCACTTTGGGAGGCCAAGGTAGGCAGATCACGAGGTAAGGAGTTCGAGAGCAGCTTGACCAACATGGTGAAACCCCATCACTACTAAAAATACAAAAATTAGCGGGGCATGGTGGCATGCGCCTGTCGCCCCAGCCACTCAGGAGGTTGAGGCAAGAGAATCATTTAACCCGAGAAGCAGAGGTTGTGGTGCACTGAGATCACACCATTGCACTCCAGCCTGGGCAACAGAGTGAGACTTCATCTCAGAAAACAAACAACAACAGAATTGATAAAAAACTGAAAAAGACATAAAAATTGAAAGATATTTTTCCTTATGAACTGAAAAAACATTAGGAAAGTGGCCATACTACCCAAGGTGATACACAGATTCAATGCCATCTGTATCAAAATACCAATGACTTTTTCACAGAAATGGAACAAACAAGCTTAAAATTAACCAGGACCAACC